TTATAGAGATTTGACAAACAAGTAAAATATTATGGGTTTTGTTTTTTGTTTTTTTTGCATCTCATTTCTGCTAGTTGCTGCACAAGCCACAAAATGCTTGCCCCAAGCTTCAGAAATTGAAGTAGAAACAGGTCCATACTTTGGTGGAAAAATTGTTGTTGATGGCGGCAATTGTGGTGTAAAGGGTAATCAAAATGATCCAATCGATCGTTATACGATGCGAATCGATCACAAAATGTGTGGCAGTTTAGTGAAGCCGGAAACGAATACAGTTGAAACATTTATAACGGTGCAGGAGAATTTGGGCATCTACACGCACAGCACAAGAAGGTGAGTAAGTAAGGAGGAACAATAATTATATAGGGCAGGAATTATTTTTAGTGGTAAAGTTAGATATATACATACGTATTGCTTCTTGGAAAATAAGTCTACTGGAGTTCATAGAAAAGATATACTAGCAACTTTCTAAACAAGAATTTATCATTAAAGCAGTTGAAGTAAATTATTAGGGGATGTAGAGCTTTATGAAGTTCCATACCAGTCTAAATGAGGCCAAAATAGCTTAGCCTTTCTCTATTCCAGAGCTCAAGCAGATCCGTCATTACCGCAGTAGTCCAGAATCCACATTACCGTTTAAGTGAAGTGTACCGATGCAAAAGGGAACCACGTTAGGCATTACCTGACCTTTTGCGAAACCATTATCTTATATAAGAAATAACCTAATAAGCAGCATAGCTTTCAGAGTGTATACCGAGGGTAATTTTGAAAGGCATAAAATTTATACTTCGAGCCATACCAAAGCGCAATATTAGGTACGGGCAAGGTTCCCCACTGGCTCCGATTAAAGCAGCCCAATATGGCGTTTTCGTTTCTACAAAAAATGTTGCCTTTTCATTGCCCGGTTATTAGTGTTTGTGCTTAGAGGGCAATGAGAAGGTAAAATTTTTCGGTAGAATCGAAAACGCCATTAGATATTAGTTAAGCTGTCAGTTGTGTAACCACAATACATAATTCATTCAACGGTAACTGAAGTTAAACCGTGTGAACTTAGCAAAGGTGCTGGGGGGTAAAAATAAAGTTCCGCCGGCAGCCTATGTCCACTCGGAGGGTTTCTCGGGAGTTTTGATTAAGTGCGAGACTAAGAGTTTAAACCTCAGCCTAGTAAAAGTCGGGCAGCTGAGAAGGAAGTGTTAAGATGATTATACCTCCTCCACCAAAGAGCTGCGACATTATGGGTTCGCGAAGACATTAAGTCTCACCGCATGCGTCAGTACACCAAGTATTAATTAAAATAATTGCTTGAAATCTCTTCAGCTTATTTAATAGTTATAACAATGACTATACCAAATGTCATTATCAAGCTTTTAATGAAATGTAGGGGCATTGCTTTAGGCGCTGTAGCTGACACAATTATCGAGCGATAACTTTCCTCGTTGGAGTGTGTATAGAGCCGTTGTAATAGAGCCTCTCAGAAATGTGTTGTGCGCTACGCAAAAACAAGTTTTATTCCATTAAACTGAATGTCTCGGAAAACTCCCTCCAAACGGTGGCGATTACATAATAAAAAAACTAAGATTTACGGATATGCACTTGGTTGGAATGTCCAGTACCTCTAAGGGAATATGCCTCTATCCAATGGATGTATTCATCCGGTACAAGTCTGACATCACCGAAATCCAGGAAATGCAATGGACGGACGCTGCTGCATAAAGTATGCAGCGTATGACGTTGACTATAGACGCCATGAGACGATGCATAAACTGGGTGTGGGAATTATGGTTGGGCGTAGACTACGACACCTTGTCACCAGGTTCAGAGGAAATCAGGGAGTGAATTGCCACGAAGCGCATCAAAGCTGAATTCGACAACATAGGCCTAATTTTTGCGGGGGAGAAGACGATGAGACTGAAGAGTTCTAAAAATCTCTCATCATACACTCGTATGGCGCATTAAAGAGAATTATTTATGCTCGCGTGGTCGATTGGTACTGAACTGTAAAATCTTTTTAACGTCATGACGCGTCATGGCGCATAAAAACCGAATGATTTCGCTGGCTTGGGAAGCAGCTGTTCTAAACTTGCTGCTTCCATTATGTACGTGGGCGCCCTTTTTTGCGTTGTGCACACATGGGTGGCGTCGAGAGGAAGGCTGTTTGTATCGGAACTCATCATCCTTGCATACGTCACGCCCAAACTAGCGCATTCTTTTTTTTGATGCGCTTAACTATATCCATCTCGTTAAAAAACTCGAATTCCATCTTCTTCGGTAGTCGTCACCCACGCAAACATGACTATAGATCTTAGCTAGAATAATTCTCTCGAAAGCGCCCAAAGCTTTCTCTTTTTTTTTTGACATCATCCATGTTTCTGCGCCATATAAAAGGACGTGCATGTTTAGAGATTTATAGAGCGTGATTTTTATTCGCCGCGAAAGGGCTCTACTTTTGAATTGCCTACCGAGCTCAAAGTAGCACCTGTTGGTAAGAGCTGTCATTCGTTTGATACCTGGTTGACCGGATCTTAGTAGGTAACGTACTTCATTGAATTTCGTACAAATTTGTCACATAATAATAATGTTAATATTAAGGGTTAAAATTTTCAGGGAGTTTTTCTAAGGGTTTTCCACAAAATTTCGAGTGAAAGGAGTGAAAACAATAATAGCAAACAAAAAGCATTTTAATGCACATCTTCTTCTTTTTTGGCGCTTTAACCGCCTAAGCGATTTTGGCCGAGTTCAGCAAAGAACGCCAGTCGTTTCTCTTCTGTGCCAACTGACGCCAATTCGAAACGCCAAGTGAAGCCAAGTCCTTCTCCATCTGGTCTTTCCAACGCAGAGGAGGCCCTCGTCTTCCTCTGTTACCAGCATCGCGTCCCGCGTTGAATATTTTCAGAGCCGGAGCGTTTCTGTCCATTCGAACGACATGGCCAAGCCAGCTGAATTCTAATTCGCTGCACTACGTCTATATCGTTGTAAAGCTCATACAGCTCATCGTTCCATCGTCTGCGGTACTCGCCGTCGCCAACGCGTAAAGGCCCGTAAATCTTCCGCAAAATCTTTCTCTCAAACACTACAAGAGCCGCCTCATCGGATGTTATCATTGTCCATGCTTCTGCGCCATATACCAGCACGGGCATGATGAGTGACTTATATAGCGTGGTTTTCGTACGTCGAGAGAGGACTTTACTCCTGAATTGCCTACTCAGTCCAAAGTAGCACTTCTTGGCAAGAGTGATTCTGTGTAGGTTTTCCGTGCTGATATTTTTATCGGTGATAATGCTGGTTCCCTAGTAAACGAAATTCTCCACTTTCCCGAAATTATAACTGTCAACAGTGACGTGGGTTCCAAGGCGCGAATGCGCTGACTGGGTTTATGACAGGAGATACTTCGTCTTGTCCTCGTTTACCACCAGACCCATTCGCTTTGCTTCCTTATCCAACTTGGAAAAGGCAGAACAGACTTCGCGGTTTTTGTTACCGATGATGTCGATGTCATCGGCATAAGCCAGCAATTGCACGCTCTTGTAGTAAATTATTCCTGAGCGGTTCAGTTCTTAAATTCCAGTCGTCGGGCATGCGTTCATCTGACCATATTCTGCACAAGAGTTGATGCAAGCACCTTATCAACTCCTCGCCGCCGTACTTGAATAGCTCAGCTGGCAGGCTGTCAGCTCCAGCAGCTTTGTTGTTTTTCAGCCGTGTTTATTGCTATACGTACCTCGTCATAGTCAGGCGGTGGAACGTCGACTCCGTCATCATCGACTGCGGGCTCGGGTTCATCTTCTCCACAACTTTCCGTGCTGCTACCATTTAGTAGGGCGGAAAAGTGTTCCCTCCATAATTTAAGTACGCTCTGGGCATCAGTTACTAGGTCGCCATTATTGTTCTTACAGGAGTCCGCCCGGTCTGGTAAAATTTTCGGACATTCTTCCTGTCGGCCAGCATTTCAAGCTCTTCGCACTCACGTATTTCGGCCTCTCTCTTCTTATTGCGGCAAATACGTCTCGCTTCCCTCTTCAGATCCCTATAGCGGTCCCACATAGCGCGCGTTGCGCCCGATCGCAGCGTGGCCCTGTAGGCGGCATCTTTTTTCTCAGCAGCTTTCTGACGATCCTCATCGTACCAGTTGCTCATCCGAGGCTTTGCCTTGCTTCTTCAGTGGAAGTGGCTTTTACGTGGCGGGTCCCAATCCCAGCGCACAAACCCACGGGGGTGGTTTCGCAACCAAATACATGCTTATATAGCGAGCCGCTTGCTCCAAGCAGACGCCCGCTTGCAGCCGCACCTACTGGTGAACAGACGCTGCAGACTTCAGTGAGCCCTTAAACCGAATAAGTAATAGTGGCCCCACCGAAGCTCCTTCTCTTTCTGCCATGACCCAAGGCTCCACTCGGTTTGGTTACCGCATCGTGCACATGGGTTTCTCACGTTTCCCAGAATGCGCGAACGAGGACGCAAGAGTCGGGATTGAGTATAGCCATGCAACTGTAACTGCATACCCAACGACTATACCCCATTGCACTCCACCCTAATGGACATACATACATATTTAACCATAAGAGAAGATATAAAAACTTATTCAATCATAAGTGGGCGGTGCCACGTACATTTAAAAAAATTAAATGTGACCACAATGCTGTTGTTCTTAACCCAATACCAAAGAATCATTCCAATCAATTCACAAACAAAGAAGTTATGCGCTAACAAACCCAAATGTAACCAATATACGTGTCGCTTTTTGATGTCGGTTAAAACGGCGTTATTTCCGGAGGTGTCTTTATCAAACTAAAAAAAAAAAATATTTTTTCTTCAGAACTGTATATTTTTACACTATTTACTCTCCCTCCCATTTATTTTCCCTCGCCAGATTCGTCGTAGTGTGTAGCTTCCAGTCGGGTATGCAAACGGTGCGCGCCAGCTTCACAGTGCCCGGCAGTGATGGCGTTGCAGCTGCCGTAGAGAACGATCCCTTCGAACCAGACGAACGACTGGGTCGAGAGCAGCGTTACATGCGTTTCGTGGATAAGAGCGCCTTGGTACTGAAGGAACATCCGCTATTGGAACCCATGCCGCCAGCAGCGCACACATTACCGTTGGCCTCAGATGAAAGTATCGCAATGGTCGAAGAAGTAACCGATGCGGTAAACATCAGCAACAATCAATCAGTAGAAACCGATGGTAGCGATGTACCCAATAGCGTAGCATTGTTGGAAGATATTGTACCGGGTGTAAATGAGCGCCACATAAAACATGAAAATGAAGTGCTGAAGATACAGGAAATCGATGATGCCGCGCCTACAGTGCCGGTGACGAATACGCGAGCGGCTAAATATGCAAAATTGGTGCGCGAGCAGGCAACAGCAAATCATCTGGCAGAAGAAGTCAACGCTAGCGGTACATTGGGCGTGGAACAGTGGTATCATTTGCGCAATACCGGTGAGCAGCGAGGTGAGTGAGCACGAATTGGAATGTGAATGTGTTTCTTCTATTTGAACGTTATATTTTCAAAGATTTCTACAAATGATTTTAGCAATCGTATTTATAATTCCTTCGAATATCTACTTTCTTTGCTCCCCTCAAAGGTTTCACCACCACTCTGGAACAAATATCCTCTAACGCCGGCAGCATTATCATCACTGTCTCGCTTTCTGTGATAGTTTTTGGCGCTTTTATTTTCGTCGTATTGCGGGAAGCTCGGCGACAGCGTTACATTCGCAGCAACATTAGAATGCAGCAACTGCAATCATCGCGCGCATCATCGCCTACTTCGTTAGCGACAGAAAAGTCATCGGTTGGAAAACGTACACTACCGCGCGCCTTGCAGCCGCAGCATACTCAGGGCAACATGTGAGGCACATTAGGGTGGGTAGAAAATATTCGAATTAATTGAGTTAAGAAAACAAAATTTTTGATAGAAAAAAAATGAGATTTTAAGTAATAGGCACTTTCAAGTAAAACTAAGATGAATTAGACTAATTTATTACTTCCAATACTTTCGTACACTTTCGTACACTTTACATACACTGAACAACAAAGTTGCATTTCTTTTACAAATTTCTCGTCTATGCTCATTTGTCTTGTTAAATAATAGAATTAACCAACTGATAGTGATTTAGCTGAAGGTGACTGAGCATAGTGAAGCTAGACATGTATACCCAAAAAGAAAAAGATGAATAATTGCCTTTTAATTACTTAAGAATATACTAAATGCGCACTCAAATACTCTTATTGGATAGAAATTGTTGATAAATATATTATAAGATAAACATATGTATGATTAATAAGGAAGAATTTATAAAATAGGTAAGAGCTCAAGCCTAAATCTTTTTATTGTAAGTTTACGTACATATGTATGTTATCAAGGAAAACAAACTTTCACGCAGAATTAAATATAAAAATTAAGTTATTTTTACAGGAGTATATAAATGATATAACTTATTTTTAATAAGAAAATTTAAATATGACATTTTACTCATAACTCTAGGTAATAAGTAAAGCACCGATTTTATGTAATTTAAAGAGAAATATGTAAAAAATAAAATAAAGAATACATTTATTATAATGCCACCACAATTTTGAGTTCTATCCATTTCTTTTTCAATTAAAACTTGTTTAACTAAAATAAAAAAAAAAGATAAATTGAGCAACACTTTTGCCGTCTGACTAACATGAAGCCTTATTTTCGAAAATTGGTTACACTTCATTGAGTAGAATCATACTGTCGTGATTCTGCATTCAAACCGATTTGAGGCACTCGCCCACAACCACACTTGCTGTCGTAGTAGGTTGTGTACATGAACTTCCTTTGATTGGGTTAGTGCGAACTGCAGCCCAGGCAGCATTTGGAAGAGTTTTCGGAGATTTATGGCATTCTCAAGTCGTTACCCTGCAGACAAAAATTATCAATTGATAAAAAGTAACCAACCTGTAGTTAGCTTTTTCGCGGGATTTCTATAAAATATCTAACTTGTAGTTAGTTATAAAAAGCTAACTTGCAACCAGTTGTAAAGTAAAGCAGGAGTAATGCTATTTAAATATTGTCATAAAAGATTTACTGCGAATACACTTTCTTTCTGCACTTCACTAATATTTTTTCGAATTAAGGACAAATAAAAGGAAAATTTTATATTATCATTTTGAAGTTATATCTGACAGCCCTGCAAACCATTTTTTCAGAGTATTCTGCATTGTAAGATTCTGCATTCGTTAAGATTTAATTCGATTTTTAACCGAATTTTCTAAAATCAAATAAATTACGCACACTTCTATTCTTTTACGAAATTTCGGAAGAAAATCTGTGAAGCAACGAAAATAATGCTGCTATGTGAAGAATATCTTTCAGAATTTTCTTTATTTTTCGTACAGAAATTTCTTTACGAGTTCGTGTCAACCACTTCATATAATTTTCTTTGAAAATTCGTAAAAAAATCGTTACAGAAATGAGACACTCTTAACGCTTTCCTTAAGATTTCGGGAACTTTGGTTTGCAGGGAGAGCTCGAATATGGGACCACCTACAGCAGAATATGTAAACAAATATGAAATGCAATAATATAAAATAAATAAATAGAAAATTAAAAAAAAAAAAAAACAAAACAATATTATATTTTTCTTATTGATATTTTATGCCCAAAAGTAGTTAGTTACAAGGTAGTTGACATCTAATGCGGAGGTAACTGCCCCTGCCTATTTCGCGGCCAACGCTTTAGAAATATAGTTAGCCTTACTAAGATAAAATATACAGATAATATTGACCTTTAGTTCCTTCCTAATCAACTTAAAATTAACTTATACACTTAACTTGGGGACAATTATTGGTCACGTTGAAAAAAACGATTTTGCACTCATGAAAAAATCGAGGATTTTCGGAGAATAGAGACAAAAACATAATATTCCCAATATAGATCCATCCGCCATATTGGGTTCGCCACTCAAAGAACCTTTAAATATTAAATTTCATAAAAATCTGAAAATTTTTTAAAAATACATTCGCTATTTTGAATTTTTAAGAACTGACTTCAGATTCGTAATAAGCAATAATAAAAACCCTTGGATACGCACTTTAATAAAGTTTGAAAAATCACAACGCAATATTCTGTTCACCGATTCAGCATATATATATAGGTGTTGTAATAGGTTGTTTTTCCCCAATAGAAATTATATATTATGGCTTGATCTAGAAAAACGGGAAAATACGGGAAAATACGGGTATTTTGTTTTTAGGGCTATTTTCCTAAAATGCTGAATTTTTCTTGGATACAAAAAAGTTAAATTTTGTTGGACGGTGTAATCAGAGGGATGCGCTCGCCATAGGGTAAAATTTGTTTTCCCAGGTGTGCCGCAAACGATGATTAGCCAGACTCAAATGAAGCCGATGTGAGGAGGATTGGTAAAATTATAGAAAAGTCTTCAAGGACTACAAAATTAAAATAACGGTCGCAAAGAAATATTCCTGGAAAAAGTTCTGTGAAGCATTGGAGTTAAAAAATGAGATGTGAATGCTCCGCAAAATACTTCTAAAAACCTATTCGGAAATAGGAAAGATCAGGAAACCAGTCGACACATGGACCGAATATAGTCAGGAATCCTTGGGAATTCTAATGGAACTACACTTTCAGGAGCTAAAGTACCTGAGCCATCGGCTCGTTTGATCCGTACAAGTCTCAGGATCCGAGGATCCTTACATACGTTTTCCATCGTTTATCCTATAGATAAGCACGTGACTTATACATTAGGGAGATTATTGTATCCACAAAATGGATATAGGGCCACATTCCTACCGTAAAAAGATTCATTAATTCTCTTTTCCAATGCTAGATGGGACTAATATAAACTTTTCCCCCGACGTGAAATACCTTATTATAATCATTGAACCTAAACTCAAATGAAGACGCAGCGTCGAAAAGGGAGCAAAATGATCAATGGGAAAAAGTGGGAGTTATAACTGCACATCATTCATGGAATGTACACCACAGTTGCGGATAGCAGAGGGTAAAAGATGATATCAGAAAACAATCAGAAGAGTGCGGAGGCTCGCATGCCTCAGTATGTTAGACGCTGTGAGTAGATTAAATCAAAAAGTGCTGAATAAGAACCTTTACTTCGAGCCGTCACAAATATTCGTAACGGGCGCAACTGCGAGATATTAATGTAGTCAAAATTGTGAAAACTTCCCAAATAGACGTACGCACCGATCTTGAGTGAGCTTACAATAAGACGGCGCAACGGGATAAGGGCCGACTTAGATGTCCAAATGGAAGAGTTAACGTCATTCTCGGATTTTCGCCTTAGGATTTTTATACTATTTCCAACTAGAGATGAATGATACGGTGGTGTCGTGAGCCTCTATTCAGAGGACCTGCAGTTAATACAATCATATTACCTGCTGATGACTGCAGTGTCTATCTGCCGGAGATCTTTGCCATAGAACAGGCTGCTTGTCTCTTAAAAAATAGTAAGTCTCAGTCAGGTAACATCTATATTTTCTTTAACAGCCAAGAAGCATTGAAAGCGTTTGGATCCAAAGTAGTTAAAATCACTGACTAATGTAAAAACCGCTTCCAGCTGGGTTCCTGAGCATAGTAATATCGAAGGAAAAAAATATCTCGCGAGATGGCTAGAAATGTTTCGGAAATGCAGATCTGCGAGGCGTATAGCTCGTTACTCCCACCAATTTCTGATCTACTCAAGATAATTGACGGGCAAAGCACTGCCGTAACAAATATCCAATGGATCAATCGAAACGACTGTGAAATCTCAAGGTCTTTATGGTCAAGCCTTAACAAGAAACGAACTGGATCAATGCCCAGCTTTCTATATAAGGCGGCTGAAGCGCTTCGGATCACGATTTTCCACCAGCTTGGTAGATATAACGGAAGTGAAGCTATCGGAATAAGTCCAATTAAAGTTATGTACCTCTTGCTGATACTCATAAGTAGTACTCACCTTCATATACGGCTTCCTACCCTTACCAAACCTAACTTTAGTAGACGCGAAAAAATACGCTTCAATTCTAGAACATGACCTTCTACTGTAGGCTGATCCCTATGACCCGAAGTGCAATGACCAGGAAACTTCAGAGAACTACTTTAACCGGCAGTTCGTTTTGAATTCTTCGGTAGATAAGATCAAACGTCGAATGATAGCAAGTCTGAAGAACTTATTAAAAACAGCAATGAAGTCCAGGAGCTAATATGATTAAATGAGTTCAGCCGGAAAAGAGTACCTCCTAAACGTTTCACTGATCATTGTCACCATTCCTGACCAGTCCAAAAAACTGACTCTTTAACTGAAATCCGATTAAACGGCTAACAAATAGTGTGCCATAACTATTTGGATTAGGAAAGACACTTTGCTATTCACCCTAAAAACTCGGATCCATTCGTGGCCCAAATCAAAAGAGCGTTACGCCTGTCGAAATGCTTCGATACTACCAAGGGATACTAAATGTATCACAGCCGTCAATAAGATTCCGACAGATTTATTAAACAGGGACTCCAAAAAAGTTGGTGTCGAAATAGGGTTTTTTGCTGGAGGCGCTGTCGGTTGCTCGCTGTCGACGTCTGGAAACGGCGCTGATGATCGTTGCTCGAGAGTACACGACTCTCTTTTCCATTTCTGTTATTTCTAACGAACGTACACCTATATTAACACTTTAACGAATCATGTCAAGCTGCAAGTAGGTGTCTACATCGATGGCACACTTAATAACCCGAAATATTTAAGAGTAACTTTTGAGCTTGAGTTTGCTCTAGTCCAACAAAGTAAAGATCCGTAACAATGTTCGCAAATCGCTCGCAGGCGGCTATACGAGTAGAAATGTTGTCGGCAACGCAAAAGACAGCTGGTTTTAAATTATGGCTTGCGTGTTAGTCAGCAGGTACTAATTAGACGCAATTGCTGAAGTATAGAACATAGCAGTACGGTGAGTAGTGAGATGTCTCTTGATGATACCTGAACACCATTCGCCTTGTTAGGCCTCGATGCTTATCAATTAATTTCCATTCATTTGTTATCGCACTTGGTATCTGAGCAGGCTAAACAATTGAGCCCATTTAGCATTTTAGACGTTATATCCATGAGCTCACGGGCATTATCAAGACATATATCCTTAAACCACTGGACCCAACAATATCCTGGATTTTCACATACAATGCGGAACAGTTACCAACTTTACACACTTGAATTGCCCATCACAGACGAATAAGTTCAGCTACTACGAAAGACCAACTTAGGTCTGGCGCATTCACGATCTCGCTCCTAGATTTTGAATAAACTCATCCTGGTAGAAAATATTTTTACACTCGCCCCCTTACTCCTAAAACCTATTCGTGTCATACCCTACTAAAAATAAAATAAAACAAAATGAAATCATATTATGCATTTATTTTCTCTAGTACCCAATTCTTTTGTATTCCACTCTAGTAGGGCATACAAAAAAAAAAACGAAACTGTGTCACCGGTTGCGCGGCTGTACAGAAGTTGCGTACTTAGTTAAGTGGGAAATTTTATTTTATAAGC